ATTGCTGTGACTTACTTTAAAGGGAAGGAAGAGGTGTCTCCTCTGGGAGGGCTGTGGGAACGGCAGGCGCAGCTTGGTCCAGAGCTGGCGGGTGGGAAGGTGGGGGACGCAAATAGTGTCTGAAATGCTTGGAGCTGGAGGGCAGGGGCGAATGCCAAAGGCTGGCCTGTGGTTTGTGATAATGGATGATGAAGACTGTTTTGATCAAGTGAGACTTAACAAACCTTTTGCTTCTCATTTTTAAGCTACTTTGCAAAGTTTTTCATTAGTTTATTACTATTACTTTTTTATTTATGGTAATACTAAATCTTTTTCTGCAGTGGAGTCTATGCAGTGCCACATGGTCTCAGTGTGGACATTCAGACACAGAAACATGCCCAAACCTTCCTCTCCACAAAAGGTGTATTAGACTCAGGTAACTGTTAGGCCCCTTTTTCTTCCTTCTCTAGCCCTGCATTAATAATTTCTAGGGGTGTACTTGGAGGCTGCTTAATAGCTTTGTTCACTAATCATGTAACTGTTTGTTCAGCAAAAAAAGAAGGTAACAACTAATGAATAATAACTTCTGCTTTCTCTGAGAGTTTAGTACAAAATATTTTCGATATTAGACCTGTGTGTCTTCTGTGGTCAGTTTTATTTACTGTTGACATTGACTCATGTCCTTACCTTTCCTCTACAGAAGAATCAGACTGTACAAAAATGTGTGAACTGATGTGGAAGGACATCCAATCAGAAAAAACAGGAGAGAGAACAGGCAAACTTCAAACCCTTTAAACTTGCTATTTCAAAACAGCAAGCAACTTCTAAAGCACAGGTCAGCTGGTACCGCTCTTATTGCTGTTACCATAGCAGAAACACAGAAATGTGATTAAATAAATAAAGCTAATCAGAAGCAAAAGAACAAGTTTGCAGTAAAAACAGCTCAAGTTAACCTATTCTCAGAGGACTTTGAAAGAAAACATACTTCTAAAGATGTGCTGTGAAAGATTTTAGGCACAGCTGCAGGAAAAAAAAGGTATCCTTTCCCTCTCTTTAGGAGGATTAAATCTGTCCTGGAAATTAACCAAAGTGGACAAATGGACCATCATAAACAATGAATTGAAGCCCAGAATGTGAAAAACTGTGAGAAAGAAGAAAAATCTCCTGGAAAAAGACTACTGGATCTTTTTAAGGAACTTTAATGACAGAGTAAGCAACCCAGGCACATTAATTCTATCTTTACTTGTCTCTTGTGATATGAATAGTATCCTAAAAGGAACTGAAAAAAAAAAAAAAAGTTCTAGCAGACAAAACCAGATAACAGTTCCCCTGGTCTGAGTCTATAAATCCATAAAATATGTAAATTTATATCAATCTATGGATGTCAGACTGTTCCACAGGAGGTAATGTAGTATTTTCCAAATTATAAAGGACATGAAAATGTGTAGCTGGATTTGTAACCCATCTCTTCTTCTTCAAGGCAGGTCGTCTGATCCCTCTACAAATGTTAAGGAATACCTAAAAAAAGAAGAAAAAAAAAAAAAAGTCTTAATCTCCTGGTTGTAGTACAGGGCACCACTGAGGCTCCATGTTTAGAAGTGAAGGCGTTTACCTCTGAACTGGAATGAAATAAAAGGATGGAGCTATAAAGAGCAGAAAGCTTTACCAATATCAACATTTTGAAATTAAGCTGTGGATCTGGGAGGCAGTTTTTAAGTCTGTTCCCATGGCCGAGCAAAATTCCTGCAGCATGGGTGTCATGCTGCAGAGCTGGAGCACATTTGTGGAGACTGTGGATAGCCAGAAGTCTTGCTGTTCAGCGAGATGACTGTTTTTTCTCAGCCTGACAAATGACATGCAGGACTGACAGAATACTTCTCCTTTGCTGGCCATCACCCCTACGGACACTGGCCAGAACAGCAGCAGCAGGAACATACCCTCCAACTCTGATTTAATCACATGGAGCCCAGGAGACTAGTGAATAGAGCTGTTAACTCTCTGTTCGGTTTGCTTTTCCCATCTGTGTTTTATTAAACCGAGAGCAAGATTTATTCACTTTTTTAACATCAGGAGCTGTTGGTGTCCAAGATGAAGGTTGATGTTAAGGTATACATACACAGTTTAACCTGGCTATGGGCCAAACAGGCCTATGATTTCCAGCCTAGACAATTTATTTGCAAAAGGACACAAAATCCCTCTGCTGTCAGACATTTCTGAAAGGATGAGCACAACGACTTCCCGCTCTCCCAGGAACACAATACATAAAGAAGAGAGTAAAACAGTAGGCTCTCCAGGATAAGCCAGGCTCTCCAGGCATGCAGGCAAACACTTCAGTTTTACTTTACTCCTGACAGCCCCTACATAGTCACAACTACCGATGATTTTCTGATTTCCACTCCAGGAATCTTAAACAGATTGGAGATACCAGCTCAGAGTATAAATATTTCTTTTAAAAGCCAAGAATCCTGAATGGCTCAGCTGGTGAATTGCACTTTATGGGAACTGAAATGATGTGCCAGGCTCTCCACTCTAAGGTGGGATGGCTGAAGCACAGACACTCGCATGTCTAATAAGCTACTGCAAGAGCAACGCTCACTTCTAGGGAGAAGGAACCAAAAGATGGGATTTCGAACTGCTTTGAAAAGATATACTTTCCCGCAAACAATAGGGTTAACTCAAGCTAGAAAGATCAAGTGTGTGCTTTTCAGAACTGTAAATAACTTTCTTTTAAATACATATGTTTCAAGCAATAACAGATAAAGCTCCTAAAATACAGAGCTTCAGTGCAAACAGCCTCCAACATTCTTGACGCTTTTCCAGAACTTCTGGGCATTTTCTTCTTAACAGCAAGCTCCTTTCCAAAATACACCCCTCTCCCCCTTGTCTCTTAATCATCCCTTATCTTGTCAAAACTAGTGTGGTGACATCCACTTTCTCTAGTGCCTTGCTACTATTCCTGCAAGTACATTGTGGATCATCAGGCCTGCCAAATTTGTTGTTTACAAAACCTCTGCATTCTGGTCTTTCCAGGAAAATGGCTTCATAACATAATACAAATATCATATTGACTGTGGCGCCTACACAGAACATCATCATATTACAATGATTCTTGTACTACTAAGCCTCACGGTATCCCCATATGGCAATAAAAAGTAATCTGAATATGAGACAAAGTTGTTATTACAGTAGAGCTTAGAAAACAAACTGTATCTCTTGAAGATTATTCAAAGCCCACCATTGGTTTGCTTAACACAGTATTTCTATCAGTCACATATCTCTTTTCCCCAGAAACTTTAATACAAGTTGCAGAATCTGGTACCATGGGTGATAGTTCCTGTTCTGAATGGACTTTCAATGTTAATAAAAAGCCAAATACTTTTGTTACTGTTTCATTCAAGAGAATGGTCTTTTTTCTGTGCTCTTTCACATTTTTATCATCTGTGAGATGACAGTAGGAGCTGTGCATGAGCCAGTACAAATTAAGCAGTATTCATGTGCTTTCTCTTTTATAGCCTTTAAGAATACTGGCAGAAAATTATGGAATCTGCAAGTTTCAGTTTTCTTGGTTTCTGATGAAAAAAGAATTTGAATTATATGCAGTGTAAAGTCAAAGTGGGGAACTTGGTCACTGTACTGAATCATATCCTTCAGACCCAATGCTATTTATGCATTTTATTCAACACATTAAAAGCAGACTGTATGAGAGCGATTCCTAGAGCAGGCAGCAGATCCTAGGAGAGAAACCTGAGCACTATGTTAAAAGCTGCATAACTTAAGGTATGCTTTTGAATGAAAACCTAAGTGTTTGGAGCATTCTGCACTGAAGTAAATTCTCAATGTGTAGCTATGCCGAGAGCTACAGTTTGCTTAAGGGAACTGTATTCCTTTTGGGGAATACAGGTACAAGGCTGTCTACTATAGCAATATTACAAGAAATTTGATTTAGGCACGAGAAAGGTGACAGGGTAACCCATCCCACTGAGAAAGTAATCTCTTGTCATGCACAGTGGCACATCTTGTCCATGCCTGAGGATTTTCCGTGGTGAGAACACAGGGCTGATCAGGATGCTAAGGTGAGCTGAGTCACTGTTTGATGTAGGTGCCTTATAGTCCTCCAGAGGAGGACTATATTTTTCCCTTTTTTAACATTTGTTTTGTTCCTTTTTTTAATTCTTAAGTTCTTCTTTGATTCTCCTTAGAGACTACCAGAAGACCATGTCTTGACGGCCTCGGGATCACCAGTAGCTGTTAGCATTGCTTGAATACCAGTGCATGAGTGAATGGATTCATTTGCATGAATACCAGTGCTTGAATACCATGTCAGCATGAGGACAGAAAGTAGTCCAGCTCCAGATATGTGGTACAGTGATTTTCACATACAGAGAAAAATAATATTGCTTATCTAAGAATGCTATATAAGTACTGTTATGCAAAAAAATGCTTCTTTTTCCCTACTTACAGAATATTATTTAGGAGTCATAGAAACGGCAAAGGTGGCCTCATGCTAAAGGCTGTTTCATTGGATATTTAGACAAATTCAAAAGTACACTACGTAAAATAAGTACAGAAGTATCTGTAAAACTTATATTAAAGAAGAGAAACCTGGTTATGTATAATCTCATCCAATTGCTTAAATTTAAGTACCAAGAGTAGTGAAAATGAATCCCTCTGAAGAATACAATTACTTGTTAAAACAACTGTCAAATTGCCATTTGTATAAACATTAAAATATTAGGATAGACTCAATTTGCCTCTTCATGCAGTGTACTTTATTTATAAGTTTTGTTAATTTTGTTATGAATTCAGCTGTGTTTGTAATGAACCAACATTTTCAGATGTCAATGCCTGTAGGTGTAATAATCCCAAGTTAATTCCTTATTCAGATTTTTAGCAATGAATACATAGATCTAGGGTTGGGTTTTATTCTGTTTTTAGCAAATATTCTTTGCAACTACAGATGTTTAACTAAAGGCTGTTAGACAATTTGAACTTCTCAGAAGAATACAAATAAAAGCTGTTAATGAAGTAAATATCTGTTTAATTTACAAACATCAGTAGCATTACTGATATCAGTCCAAATAAGACAAAGCACACTGCATTACACATGTACATCTAACTTTTTGTAAAAAAAATAATAAAATAAAATTGAAAAACATCTGCATTTTTACAGGGTACCCTGGGTTTTACTGAAAGAAGAACACAACCCACTATTGATTACCAATTCTACATCATAATTTAGCAGCAACATGTTAACATGGGGAACATTAGGGCAGTAAAGTAGTTCTATTATTGGGGGAAAGTCACAGTTCTTGATAGCACAGCCTTTTTTTCTCTTTTATAAAAAAGGTAAAGAGCTCCATGGGAATATTAATTTATAAAGATCTACCTTCTAATGTCATTTTCTACACGCCACCTTATTTTCTGTAAGTACTGTATATAGGGAAAATTACCTTCTCTACAATTGTCACCTAGTGTAAAGACATTTGCTGTCATACATTACAGGTTCTTGGAAGGTGTCCTGAATATCTGCTCTATGTGAAAACTGCAGATTGTCATCACTTTCAGATTCAGTGACACCAAGTGGTCAGATTCTAAGGAAAAGAAAAAGGGAAGGGGAGGAAAAACCAGACTGAAAACATTTACCCCAAGACGACATGCTACGTTAGTTCTATTGCAAAAAATCCTGATTTTTAAATCCTTTTAAAAAACAAAATAAAAAAAATAAAAAAATACTGGGACAAATATAAATTAATATATATTAAAGCACTGAAAAACAGTAAAAGGGATGATCTAAAAGGGTTAAGTACAATGTACTTTGATACAATAAATATTTCTTAATGAAACTGAATACTGTATAGAGTTGTTTAGAACTCATAGAAACAGAAATCCATATTATTACTAATTTATCCATCAATAATCTATTTTTATCGTCCCCAAAACATTTATATTACAAAAAATTAATACTGGAAAAGGGCAGATAAACACTTTTTATGCTTCTTTTGTTAACATGCTGACATAAAAGTATACATCATCAGGAGATTTCAGGATTATAGTATATTCTCATATCTCCCATTTCCCATCCATTAAATGGGACCCCATCTTTTCAAGATGCTTAATAATTCAAAAAGATAAAATGTATTTCATACAATTGTTATTTCTGTATAATCTGATTCTTTCCACTCATAATGCTTCCTCATCCATAGGCAAGTGATTGGTATGGTCTGTCAAGACAATAAAATATACTGATATGAAAGTGAAAAAAACAAGCCTCATGTTCTGGTCAGTATTTCATCTCTGAGCTGTTAAGTTGAAAGTCACATGTGTATAGTGTCAGTGTATCTTCAGCATGTTATAAAGAAGAATCCATGTTAAAAGCAGTTAAAGTTTCCCATCTCTGTTGCAATGTTACCAGGTCTTTTTTTATTTTTCTTCAAAGCTCCTCTTGGGTATGAGAAGTCTCAGTTCAAGCACTTGAATCTTTTTTCAAATGAAGAAAAAGTCTTTATTCTCATAATAAAAATAAGTCTGTTCTGTATTTTACAATATATTTCAAATATTTCCACTATGAAGCATTAATTAGTCCGACACGGTCAATAAGTATACAACATTTTCAAAAGACAAGTGTGACAGGAACACTTAGGAGGGACAATTTGTACAGCCACACTTCACCACTTTTTCAACCTCGTCCACAAATGACGACCCGTCAGTGCATTCAAAAGAGTATTTCCGTCTCTTGCTCCTTAGTGGTCCACAGCACTGCCCGGTTGAACATCCTCCTTTACATTCTAGTCTCGATACCTTCTTGGTCGTCTGGCACGCAGCATACCCTTGCTGCTTTTGGTAGTAATCTCGGATTCGTTCCCCTCGACAAGAGATTTCTGTAGAAAGCAACATTTAAAATAAGAGACATGCTTCTGAGACACAGGTCAAAGAATGGTTGACATCACAAAGGAAGATGCAGTGGTTTTAATTGCACTTGGGATTGATATTTCAAAGTTTGACTCAGACTGTATACTGGAAACTAGTGGTTCCACCAAACATAGTTTGATTAATGCTGAGTTTTATTTCCTATACCTCCTATTTTCAGCAAAGTTTATATTATGTATATGTAAACCATAAATACAAAGCTATTACAATGACAAGAAAATTGGAAACTTAAATCTTTTCCTCTTTTATAAAAATACACATCTTCTGTTCCTACATTGCTTGCAGCTGGTTCTATTTACCATAGGGAAATGTTTCAGAGAGCATGCAATTTAATTTATTAGACCTGGAGTTTAATATTATTCAAACTGTTATTTAATACAAGTTACATTCCACTAACTTCATAAATTACTGAAGTATAAAATCAGCTAAAAATGAGACATCTGTTAAAAGTGCTGCAACTAAATTCTTCTATTCTATTCACATCTATGTACAGTACAAAATAAATGCCATCTGGGGTAAGGGAA